AGAGACTATAAAACCAAGCTCCCAGAAGCGACCTTTTATTGTCTAGTTTTCACTCTCAGAGACCCCGGCAGGCTACCAAAAGTATCCTTCCCGCATATATGCCTGATTGGGAACACCTGTAAAAGTGATTAGAGACTGCCCCAAAAGCCTCCATCCCTCTTGGCGAGCCCGGCAAGCTACTGAGAGTATCCTGCCTGCACGGCAGAGCCTGGGAAGCTACCTGCAACATACTAGATATGCTGAAAACAGTAACAATGATGGTCCTCATTCCCCTGACACTGAAAGAGCCCCCAATATGCCATCCAGGCTACACCAGCACATGTCAGGGACGAATGGAGACACTACTGGCGCCTGCTCGAGCAAATCCATGAACAACAGGAGGACACTGACAGTGACAGTGACTGGTTACATAGAGTATTCTCTCCTAAAAAAAAAAAAAAGAGTATCCTCTCCTTCAAGAATTTATCGAGTCTATAGTGGATGATCCTGCAAAGCCTAGTGGTGGTAGTAATTTTTTACATCAAAATAACAGAGTCACAGAGAGAGCTCAATGGGCTGGAGTTCTTGCTTTGCAGGCCAGATGCTTGGGTTGGTGCCCTATCACTGCTAGGAGCAATTCTGAGCACTGAGCTGAGAGTAGCCCCTATGAACTGGTGGGTATCCCCCCAAACTTATAACCCATAAATACTATATCAACTATAACTGTCATATTCCCTAAAACTAATAACCCATAAATACTAAACTACAGTTAAAGTTAAGCATAAAACAAAAAGAATATTTGTTAAAATACTTGTTAAAGGGGGGAAAATTACCTTGTCTATCAACCAGGCAAGCTTCTGTTTTGTCTCATGTCCCCAGGTGACTGTGAAGTCACATGGGGAGTCCAGATGGTAAGTGATATGCTGAGTTCATTATTTCAGTTTCCCAGTAGTACAAGCATTCTCAAAGTTGTCACTATCATTAACCCTGGGTAATCCCACACAGAAGCATTTAGCTTATTGAATTTAGACTGTAAGTGTCTTTAATCCTGGTAATGACAGAATAAACATGGTGAGCATGAAAACACACCCGGCTAACTAGACAACACAATGGGTAGAAAGCAAAGTTTCTGATTGCTTATCAATCCCACCCCCAGCAGCGCCAGTGATGGAAGCCAGGACCTAAGACATGTAATGCAAATGAGCTACCACAGCACCATAGGCCCATCTTACCCAGCACTGACAGGTATAGTCCTCAAAACAGCTTAAAAAAATAATGAAAAACAACTTATAGGTCATCCTGCTATGGTGCTTGGAAATAACAGTTTAGAAAATGGGAATTCAAGCCACTGAACAGTGTCAGCTTCCTAGCTCCTGGGGCTGGGGTCGTATGATACCTCCAAATTTCATAGTACTGTCAGCACTGTATAACCGCTATAGCACACCTGATGGGAAGGTCGTATAGAAACCCACTAAGCTCAATGAGCAGAAACAGTAACACAGATGGTTCAGCTAGCACCAATCTGCCCAAGAAATCCTCAATGACTTTAGCCGCACTATTGTGAAGCATAAGATCAATGATCACAAACTTTTACTGATCTATTTTTTAATAATTCCATCTGCCTCTAAGTTGTAACAATCAATACTATGTAAATTTATATCATGCTAAGGGGGCATACTGGAGAGGGAGGGAAACTGGGGACACTGGTGGAGGAAAGGTGACACTGGTGGTAGGATGGTATTGGAACATCGGACGCCCAAAACAACTGTATTATGAACAACTTGATAAATATTCTAAAAAAAAAAGGAATTCACTGAGTGTTGCAAAAAATGGTTTAAGCAAATAGTGACTGGGGCTGGAGCAATAGTACAGTGGTAGGGTGTTTGCCTTGCACACAGCTAACCTGGGTTTGATCCCCAGCATCCCAGATGCTCCCCCAGGGAACCGCCAGGAGTAATTCCTGAGTGCAGAGCCAGGAGTAACCCCTGAGCATTGCCAGGTGGGACCCCCCCAAAAAAAAGAGTTTGTGATTATTAAAATACCATTTAGAGCAGGCAATAATATTTCAAGTGGAAAGTAAAAATGAAATTATAAATCCACGTGACCATGCTCCCATGAATAGAAGTCATCTGCTTCATGCTATGTGAGGAATTGAACATGGGCTTCCACGTGCAAAGCAAGTACTCCAGCCCTCTGAGCCATCTCCCCAGATCCATAAAGCTCTTCTGCTTTGGAGAGTGAGGTAGAATTTGGGTCCCACCCAACTGCAATCAGGTCTTCCTTCTAGTTCTGTGCTCAGGGATCATTCTTATAGATACTCGGGGGGGCCATATGTGGTGCCAGGTTTGGACGAGTGCAAGTCAAGTGCCTTCATGCTAGCATAATCTCTCTGGTCCTCCTGAAAGTCTTATTAATAACCATTTAGAACTCATCCATAGCTGGCATAGGAAGAAACAGAGACGGCTTCAACAGAGAGGATGCAAACTCAAAATGTTGCACTTCCACAGACAAGCACCATGTTGACCCACAAGGCAGCCACCAGCTACATGTGGCCACTGAGGGCCACTGGGGGCTAAACTAAGGTTAACTCAAATTTAGTACTCAATTTTCTCAGTTGCAGTAATCATATTTCAAGTGCTTATACAGAGCTAGTGGTACTTGTACTGGGCATTGCAGGACAAACCACATGATTCCAAGAGCACAGCCCGGAGTAACCCTGCGAACATTGAGGAGGGAAAGACCCTAAGCACTAATGGGTGTGGCCCAATTCCCTCTTACACACACACACACACACACACACACACACACACACACACCTGAAAAAAATGATACACGGGGCTGGAGAGATAGTACAGAGGTTAAAGCACTTATATACCTTGCATACAGGGTAATCCCTGGGTCTCTGCACCAGCCCAGTTGGCTAAATATCACCAAGAGTTCTGGGGACTCCTGAGCACCACTTAGGAAAATAGAATAAACAAAGAAAAAAGAGAACAAAAAAAGATAAAAAGAGAACAAACAAACAAAAGAATCCAGAATCAAAGTCAATGATCTCTGTTGGTGTCACTTTTTTTTTTTAGTTTGTTAGGGGTGGCGATGGGGGGGCGGGGGGTTATTCCCAGTTCTGTGCTCACGGGCTGCTCCCAGTGTTGTTTGGGGATCCAACCTGGGATCCACAATTCCACATGGGAAGCATGTGCCCTGAGCTATCACTCCAGCCCTTATTCACCAAGAACCATTAGAGATATGCACACTTATTTTCTGGAATACTTCCATGAGAGGCATTTAAAGATACACAAACAATCTGGGTATCTGTATCACCACAGAATGTTTTTTTCTCTAAGTTTTTATCTTCCATTTTATCCTCTTTTGATATGGGGAAGAACAGAAAAAGAAAAACAGTAGGGATTCTCCAAAAGTTGCAAAAATTGCCAAACCTATAATTGATTTTTAAAAGCACTTACATTTATCACTTCTCTTTAAATAAAAGAATAAGGTTACTTAAAAACACCAAAACTAAAAGCCCACCCAGAAGAAGGAAAGGAATAGGCATTAGCAAGAGAATTACTAAAACCAAAATGGTTGGCTATTTTAAATAACTGTTCCAGTTATTTTTTTAAGTGCCCCAAATCAATACCCTGTTCAAAAAATACTGTAAGCACAATTCAATAAGTCCACATTAAAGCTACCAAACTTCTAGGAGGTCAAAGAGTTTGCTAGTAGGAAGTACTGAATTTTCACCAAGAGTCCACTTTGTTTCAACCTCTAATCAACGAGCAAATAAACAAATCACTATAGTCCCCTTTCATTCCCAACATTATTTGCTTCTTGAGGTCACTGGGTCTTCAGACACTATGGCTGGGAGTAAAATAAAAGTCAACTTTAGAACTAAGATTTTACTTACGCGAATAGCCTTGGAGTCAAAAATATACTTTCAGATTTAAAAGATAGTTTCAATTACACTTAATGAAATTAAATCATTCAAGCAGGAGGACTGAGAAAGCCAGAAGTCTTCAGACACTGGAGTCTTTAAACACTCATCTGAGCACTGCTTAAATATTTGCTTGCTACTTTGCTATGCTTCTCCTCTATACCTCACTGAGGAATATTTGATATCCGAGGGACAGAGTCATGTGGATGCCAGCTAAAATTTAATTAGCACACAGAAACACAGCAACCAACAATCTGCTGAAGAGAACAGTTTCTGAATTGGGGGGATGGGAGTTCCAAGAACTGGGATACAGGCAAATTCAAAAGGTGAGTCTAAAGCCTTTATATAGAAATGCATACTGGGGTATCTGACTGCAGTGGACAGCTCCCTGAGAGGGTTCTGGAAAAATGCTGACAGTGCTACAATATTAGGAGACTCAAGAAGCCCCATTCATCACCAAGCTAGAGCGGCACAGGGACTGGAACTCCCGGGCATCTCTGCACCTTATAACTTCCCAACATGATGCTCAGAAGCAGCGTTTCATCCCGTTAGGAAAGTCTCCCAGTTCTCTTCCTGTGCCCAGCTTGCCTCCCTACACACGCCCTGTTTTCCTTGTCTTCTGGCTCTCCACATTTCAGTTTAGAGAAGGAAGTAACATTTTCCCCTCTGACCGGGAAAGGTTGCACTCTAAGGTCATTTTCCCTGACTCCACTCTTTCAAGGAAAAGAGTAGGCGCATTAGTCAAATAGAAATCATCCCCTACACAGAGGGGAAGTGAGGAAATGCTCGAATAAACCTTGATCATTTGTATTTTCTCTTCCCGTGGAGGACAGTCTTAGGGAGCTGTTTAAGAGAGCGTGTAAAAAGTGGCACTCAGTCACAGAAAGCTGAACAGAAACTCACACATCTGCAGAATCTGTCCCCATCTATGCATATACACTCTCACGGAGCACACGTAAGTACCGACAGCAAACTGTGCTAGGAGCTCACAGTGCACACCACGCACAGGCTTTCCAAAATGTGCCGGAGGCAGCCTGGGAAATGGGCTGGCCGAGGTGCCAACCCAAGGGTAAGGCTACTGCATGCATACCTTTCGGTCCTCTGGAATGTCCATTCTTTTGCTGTTCATCTTCCTCAGTAATGGTGAATAAGCCAAGGAGAATTGGCTTCGCGTTAGTCTTCTTCAGCCTCTCTTGTCGGAGAGCTGTGGCTGATCCAGGCATACCGCGGCGACTTGCTTTATTTATTTTTTTTAATTATTGCAATATTAAAAATATATGCTTATGTAATTGCAGCTCCCAGGAAGCTGCTAGTTCCTAGGCTGCCGGTTCATTTGAGCACTTGTAATAGATCCCCTATGGGTAAACAGTGTGCAAACAGCTGACAGATACTACCAGCCTCTTGGCAACTGAAGCCCTGCAGCTCCCCTCACCTAGCAGCAACTGCACCCCCCCTCCACTTCAAGCCCCCTCCCACTTACTCCCCACAGACATATGGTGGGGGGCAAGCAAGTGTGGGCAGGCGGGTGCGCGCACACACACACACACACACACACGGGTGCAAACACACACACACACACACAAGTTCCAGAAACGCCCCACTGAAAGCCAGCAAGGCTCAGCTGTCTCCGTCCACTGCCGAACCTGTGCAGTCAGATCGCAGCTTCTCCGTCCCGCTGCGGCCCCTGGCCCCAATCTTCCTCCTGCTACAACACAGTGAAATATTCAGCCCCCAGCACGTTGGAGAAAACAGGAGCCAGTGCCATTAGCAGTTGTCCTGACAACCCTGCCATACCCTAATCAAGGAGGGCTGGGAGCCATCTCCACGGCGGAGGAGCGGCAGCCGACTGGGATCTGGTCCTGGGAACCCACGGCGGAGGTTACCGTGGGAGGCGAGCGGGCAGCCCGGCGCGGGGCAGCTCCCTCTTGCTCTGAGTCGCCGGAGCTGCAGGGAGGGAGGAGGAATGTGGGTTTGCTTGCACAGGGGGCAGCAGCCAACTCGGGAGAAAGGGGGCTCAAGGCAAGGAGGCTTTTTTTCCCCTTTCTTTCTGACGCCAGGTTTTCTATGGCAACAATATTTGTAGGTTGCTGGACGCAGCAAGGGCTGGCAGCCCTCCCCCACTCTCCAGCTTTGCAGGATTTGCGGGAACACATCCCCCGACATGCTTGCGCCCCCGGAGCCTGGAAACACAGACTGGGCAGTACTGCCATGTACCAGAGACCCTCCAGGTGAAGATAGGAGAAGGGGAGAGCAGTGGCTGCCTTCAGAGTCCCAACTGGGAAGAAGTAGCCCTTTCTGAAAGGCAAAGTTCCAAGGCAAAAAGGAGACATGACCTTCTATCAAAATGGGTAAAAACAAACAAACAAAAAACCAAAAACCAAAAACCTGCCGGTAAACTGGTAAACTCCAGTCTTCGTGCTCTGGACAACTCCCTACAGCAGAGCTGAGCCATTCTCCACTCTTGACCCAATTTTAGTGTTTTTTTTGTTTGTTTGTTTTCTACAAAGCACACAAGCACGTGATTATAGTTTCCTCCCGAAATAAGCTTTCTCACTTTAAGGCTGTTTCTGGAATGCCTACGATTTTTGATGCATGCAAAAATAAGCACAACAAATGCCAATTAAAAAATGTCAACTTCCCAATTAAGATGTGTGTGTAACCTTTTAATCAAAATTTAGTCAAATGCAACCCTACCACCCCCAGAGTACCCCTCTATTTTGCAAAACTACTTGAAGAGGGGAGCCCAGAGACATACAGGCAAGTAAAATATTCTCTCTAAATCCTTTGTGGGGATGAGTCAGTTGAAACATTTCATTTAACTCCTTTTGATGCTTACTTTTCACAGTGAGTTGGGATGATGACATCATTTACCTTATAGGATTAGGGGCAAGGGTAAAATAAGTGTAGTGTTTGCAAAAAGAAGTGTTTGATAAATATCAGCTGCTTTGATTGTATTTCAGAATGCATTTGTTGTAACTAGTCCACTGTTGCCTTGTAACTTTCTTTTCTTTTTTTTTCTAATGTAGGAGTACTGCTATTTATTCAGCCACTGATTAAGCTGTAACTATTTTCAAGGTGTCCTCTAGGAATGGGCCTTTTTTTTTTAATCTATTTAAACTACCTAGTCTTATACTGGAAATGTACCAAATGGCCAGTAAACTTATGCTTAAAAAAAAAAAAGAAAAAATGAATTCTTCAGAAATAACTCTCTCCAAAGGTTGGGGAGATTTAAGTAACATGGGTTTAAATCTTTGGTTTGGAGAAATGCAAAAAATTTTCAGATATGGAGTTCATTTATAAACATGTTAATAAGTTTGATAGGTATTTGGAATGAAACCGAGATCTTGAGCTTAATGGGCTAAAAAAAAAAAAAAAAACCACCTGAATCAACCTTGTTATATAGGCAGGGAGACAAAGATGCAAGAAAGTGAAAGTCCTCTACAAGTAAACTGTTACATGGCAGCTGATCTACAATTAAAACCAATCTCCCACCTCCTAGTTCAGTGCTTCTTCCTATGAAAACTATTTTACCTATAAGGTTTAAAATCTCGGATTTTAGTCTCCAACTTCTATAGAGATGGCAAGAGATGGAGAGGGAGGAAAGAGATGAGCCATGCTTGGAATACTCAAGATTTTAAGAAGCAGAAAAAACAAATTGGTTTCCATCTGGTTTCCATAATGTAATTAGTTTCCATAATGTTCTATTTGGTAATCTTTCTAAATTAATGGTGAGTTACAGGGACTTGCCTTGCATATGTCTGACCCAGGTTCAAACCCCAGCACCCCATATGCTCCCCACTGCCCCAAGCTCCAGCAGTGATCCGTGAGCCCAAAACCCTGATCACTGCCAGGTGTGGCTCAAAAACAAACAAAAGGTAATTTATTTCCTATTTCTTTAATGATATGATCAATAAACACAGGTTGCTCTCATACATGCAAATATTTATGAAATATAATTATTTTCAAATCCACTTAAGTTTTTTCTACTTCTCAAGAATCAAGTTAGTGCACAAAATAGCAAAAAATACACAAATAAATATAGCTGAAGCTACATTTTGACAGGTAAAACAAAAATCTATGCTGATCAGGCAACAACTTTTACTGGGAAATGTTCCTGACACAAAATAAAGCTAACAGCTTCTGACTGACTTTCACTGACTTTTGCTGAAACAGGTAAAGCTTAAGAAAAAAAGGATCTTTCCCTCCACTTTACTAACAAAAATGAGATGAAAACATTATGAGATGTTGTAAAAGGAAAATGAAAAACCTTTCTAAAATGGCTTTTCTTTCTTTTTTTCTTTTTTTTTTTTTTTAGGATTAGAGAGAAAGCATTACATTGAATTTAAGAGATTCCTGTCTTTCCTCTGTTGTATAAAGCTGGGCATGTTATCTAATCTCTTTAAATACCTGTCTGGTCCTGTGATTTCAATGGGCATAAATATAGTATCTACTTGATAGGGTTGTAAGAGGATTAAAATAACTGATTTATGCCAAGCACTGAGCATAGTATCTAGCTATTAGACACTAAGATGTAAACTGGAGAAGAGAAACAGAGCCATATCAGGCAGATAAATAACTGGAAATGATTTTTTTTAAACTTCCTGACCCCCTTTACCCACCCACTTCTTCTGGCCCACCTTCCAGTCCACTTCCGGGAAAGGTTCTTTGCATCCAGGAGTTTAGTTTTGGATTCCAAAAATGAGAACAATCATACAAGATGTCTTTCTCATCTTAATTTTATCCACACTACCCATCCCTAAAAATCAGGAGCTCATTTTTTTATGACTTAATATTCCACTGTATTACAGTAATCATACATCCATTATATTATTCATACATACGAATAATATTCCATTCCAAGTATGTATGTGCATGCTTATATGTGCATATAAGCATATATAGAAGCACACACACACATAGAAGCTACAGTTTGAAAAGCAAAGTGAGAGTTGACAATCAAGTATCTTCTGCAGAAAATGTACATTCCATAACTTTCAAGGGTGGACTCAAATATTTTATAGGAGAAATATAAAGGCAAAGCCATCTTGAATTAAGATTACCTATTTCACAAAGGGGCACTTTTTTTAAAGAAACCCTTTGAGGTGCTGGAATGATAGTATAGCAGATAAGGCGCTTGCCTTGCATGCGGCCGACTCAAGTTCAATCCCCAGCATCTCATACTGTCCCCCAAGCACCACAGGAGGAATTTCTGAGTGGGAGCCAGGAGTACTCACCCCTGAGCGTCACCGGGTGTGGCTCCAAAAAACAAAAACAAACAAACAAGAAACCTTTGAGGTTTGAGGCTGCACCCAATGACTCCAGCTGAGTAAAGGTACCAATGAAGGGAAGCACTCACAGGGCCAGGTTGAGCTCCAGTTACTCTGCCCAGCATACTGATGTTTTTCCGCTTGTGCTATCCTTGGTGAATTAGCCTTCAATGGCAAAAATGGGATTCTTCATGCTCCAGTAAGATGAGTCTAATGGAAGATTTTATTTGTATCAAAATGTGAAAAATCAACAAAATGGCTTTTTTTTTCCTTTCAAGAATACAAGCTAGGCTGCAGACCAATTACAGGGGGGAAATGAGGATTTAACCCACAGAGTCCAAAAGCGGCAAGGCTCATCCAATCCAGAGAGGCAGAGTGAAGGACAGGAAGGGCCCAGTGCTGGGAACAAGTCCAGGTTTATGGCATTGACCGTTGCGCGAGAGGCATCACACATCCCCTTTGTAGTTACAGTCACCATGAAAGGAGTCATTACCTGGCAGATTAGGTGACTGAGCTCCGGAGAGGTTCTAGTCACAAGGTGCACAGTTAAATCCCTAATTTGGGATTAAGTCCAATCTCAATGCTGCAAAGGCATAAAGCGTTTGTCTTGCTTTCTGGTAACTCCTAACTCCAGCACCACCTCGCTGCACCCCAGTCACAGCTGTGGCCGTTACTAGGATGCAAACAGCCCCAGTTCAAACCATCATTATAAAGGAGGACTGTTTCTCCTTGCTCATGAAGAACACAGTTTGCCTCACTTCACACACAGACAGTTGAGATTAGTTTCCCAAATGCTCCACCCTGTCTTTTATGAACACATGGAGGTCAGTGAGCCTTGACCCCTGTAAGAGTCTCAAGCTCCAGCCTTCTTTTCACTCTCAGACACAAATCAAAATATAGAAAGAGGGGTGGCGAGACCTTAAATTAAATATCCACCCCAAGTAAATGACTACTTCTCTAAAAGCTTGAGTTCTTCTGCAGCACTAATAAACGTTTTCAGTTTGATGTGGCACAACTCTCCTCATACGTCACCTACAGCTACAGAACCCCCTGGGAACTGGCGCATGGAGATTTCCAAGAGTCCATTTGTTTTGCACAAGTTCTGTTTAAATTGTTCCAACAATAAGTGATGTATTAATGGAGACTTTGTACAAACTTGAAAGAAATAAGACACTGCTTAGGATAAGGGGGTAAATTTTACTGGCTTT